TCTTTTTTTTTTTTTTTTTGAGACGGAGTTTCACTCATGTTACCCAGGCTGGAGTGCAATGGCGCGATCTCGGCTCACCACAACCTCCGCCTCCTGGGTTCAGGCAATTCTCCTGCCTCAGCCTCCTGAGTAGCTGGGATTACAGGCACGCGCCACCATGCCCAGCTAATTTTTTGGTATTTTTAGTAGAGACAGGGTTTCACCATGTTGACCAGGATGGTCTCGATCTCTTGACCTCGTGATCCACCCGCCTCGGCCTCCCAAAGTGCTGGGATTACAGGCTTGAGCCACCGCGCCCGGCCAAAAAAAGATTTTTTCTTTAAGATGGGTTTCATCATGATGGCCAGGCTGGTCTTGAACTCCTGACCTCAGGTGATCCACCCACCTCGGCCTCCCAAAGTGCTAGGATTACAGGCGTGAGCCACCACGGCTGGCCCTAAAATTTTTTTTACTGAAAAGAAATAGAGACAGGGTTTTACCATGTTGGCCAGGATGGTCTTGAACTCCTGACCTCGTGATCCGCCCGCCTCGGCCTCCGAAACTGCTGGGATTACAGGCATGAGCCACCGCGCCCCGCCAGACAAGGAGTCTTGCTCTGTCGCCCAGGCTGGAGTGCAGCAGCACAATCTTGGCTCACTGCAACCTCCGTCTCCTGGGTTGAAGCCATTCTTCTGCCTCAGCCTCCCGAGAAGCTGGGATTACAGATGCGAGCCACCTTGCCCAACTAACTTTTTTTTTTTTGAGACAGAGTCTTGATCTGTCGCCAGGCTGGAGTGCAGTGGCACGATCTTGGCTCACTGCAACCTCCGCCTCCCAGGTTCAAGCAAGTCTCCTGCCTTAGCCTCCTGAGCAGCTGAGACTACAGGCGCATGCCACCATGTCCAGCTAATTTTTATATTTTAGTAGAGACGGGGTTTCACCATGTTGGCCAGGATGGTCTTAATCTTTTTTTTTTTTTTTTTACATACATGTGCATATGTCTTTATAACATACCAATTTATAAGCCTTTCGGTACATACCAGTAATGGGATTGCCGGGTCAAATTGTATTTCTAGTTCTAGGTCCTTGAGGAATCACCGCACTGTCTTCCACAATGGTTGAACTAATTTACACCCCCACCAGCAGTGTAAAAGTGTTTCTATTTCTCCACATCCTCTCCAGCATCTGTTATCTCCAGATTTTTTAATGATTGCCATTCTAACTGACATGAGATCTCAATGTGGTTTTGATTTCCATTTCTCTAATGACCAGTGATGATAAGCATTTTTCATGTTTGTTGGCTGCATAAATGTCTTCTTTTGAGAAGTGTCTATTCATATCCTTCACCCACTTTTTGATTTTTTTTTTTCTTGTAAATTTGTTTAGGTTCTTTGTAGATTCTGGATATTAGTCCTTTGTCAAGTGGATAGATTGCAAATACTTTTTCCCATTCAGTTGGTTGCTGGTTCACTCTAACGATTGTTTCTTTCGGTGTGTAAAAGCTCTTAAGTTTAATTAGATCCCATTTGTCTATTTTGGCTTTTGTTGCCATTGCTTTTGGTGTTTTTTTTTTATTTTTTTATTTTTTTTTGAGACGGAGTTTCATTCATGTTACCCAGGCTGGAGTGCAATGGCGCGATCTCGGCTCACTGCAACCTCCGCCTCCTGGGTTCAGGCAATTCTCCTGCCTCAGCCTCCTTATTTTTTTATTTTTTTTAAAGACGGGGTTTCACCATGTTGGTCAGGCTGGTCTTGAACTCCCGACCTCAGGTGATCCGCCCACCTTGGCCTCCAAAGTGCTTGGATTACAGGCATGAACCACCACGCCCGGCCAGCTTTTGATGTGTTAGTTATGAAGTCACTGCCTATGCTTATGTCCTGAATGGCATTGCCAAGTCAGGGCACAGCCCTGAGTTTGAGGGGGTTGGGGAAGGCAGGGGCTGTGACCTATTTGCGGAGGGGGAGGGCCCCTGTGGAAAGGCCGAGGCCTGCACCGTGAGGCCCGGGGTCAGCATGTCCTGGAAGCGGAGCTGCGGTGCCCTCAGCTGGGCCTCCTGCCTGGACGGAGCGCGCAGGCTTCTCTTTCAAAAGCGCCTTTCCTATCCCTTCTGGTGGGTTTTACTAAGGGTTCTGATGGTGGGTACGAGGTTCTGTGAACCAACATCATTTTATTCCAAAATATTCCAATTCTTTTCCACTTCCAATTGAACAGCTTAGGTAACATATCATATCCCCGCCAACTTTAGAAAGAGAAACTTCTACCTCACGACGAACGAACCCAGGTAGAGCAACAACGTTCTGCTTAGAAACTGAGCGTCGATAGACGCGGTTCTCCGACACCGCCCCGCGAACGCGGACCCACGCGGGTCCCAGCCCCGTGCCCGCCCTCCCTCGGCGCCGCCCGCTCACCTGGGACTGCGTCCGGCTCCACCAGCACCCGCTGGCTCCCGAAGCGCCGCGCGCCGTCCCCGCCGCCGGCCGCCCGCTCCGTCAGCCCGAGGGCCGCGCCCTGGAGCCGGGACCCTGGGAAAGCAGCGTGGAGGAGCCCGTTAGTCCCCGGCCGCAGCTGGGGCCCGACCTCCACCCCGACCCCCGCCCGCCCCGGGTCTCGCACCCGCACGGAGCAAGAAGCGCGCCGGGACTCGCAGAGCAGCCGCCAGCGCCATCTTGAACGGAACGCGCCAGGCGCGAGTCGCGGGCCTAGTGAGAATGGGCCGGAGTTCACCCCGGGACCAGGCCCCGCCCCGTTCCCGGAGTCTGGTTACTGCCTCCACCTCCGGGTCGAGGCCGCCGCCCGCCGGGTTCGTCCCTTCGTCCCAGGCAGCCGCACGCTTCCGGGGCAGGCACCGGGCTCTGGGCTAGGGCCGCCCTGCAGGAAGGCGCAGGGAGAAGCCGGCCCTCTGCAGACGCAGCCACGACCCACGCGGCGCCAGGGCAGGCTCTTCTCCAGCGCGGGGCACTGTAGGCAGGAGGCTGCCGGTGCTCAGGTGAGCTCGAGCTCTTGGCCAGGCACAGCTACCGCAGCACCGGCATTGGAAAGGCGATCAGAGCACCGAGCCCCACTCGGGGGAGAGGAGGTGGGGGAGCGTGAGGGAGGTCAGGGGTGCCTGGGGTGAGCCCGGCGGTCAGAACAGGCCACCTGGCCTTGCCCAGCACATGGGCAAATGCACAAAGGCTGAACCGCAGTGGCACCTCTTAAATTTTTATTTGCAGAGAAATGCCGAAGGGTAAGAACAGAGTCTGTTCCCGCTGGGCCATGAGCGGGGGCTGGGGAGTGGGCCTTTGCACTGTTTGGTGTGGAGTCTTGGTCCGACCACTGGGAGCACCGGGCAGTGAGGTCCCAGCAGTGTTTGGTGGTCTCAACTTTGGTTCTTAAGATGTTAAGCATTTAAGATTCTTCCTTGTGTCTCAAACCAATTTCTGAGGTGGAGAAATGGCCACTTAATGGAGGAGGAAGCAAGCCTGGCATGGCGACATATGCCTGTAATCCCAGTGACTCAGGACCAGCTGGGCAACACAGCAACACCCCGTTGCTACAAAAAATTTACCACACACATACACACGTTCGCTCTCTGCATGTTTCTGGTCAGGAAGAAACTGCAGCTTCCGAGATGGTAAAAACCAGCTTGGGCAACACAGTGAGACACTCTCAACACACACACACTCTCTCTCTCCATGTTTCTGGTCAGGTAGAAATTCCAGCTTCAGAGAAGTTAATAATAACACCTCCTTCTCCTGTTTGTCCACCATAGGAGCAACTTAATACCCACAGCACACAAACCCTAGGTTCTCCTGCCTGAAGGCACTGGAGGTGCCACTGTGGATAATGAGTAACAGAAAGCTATAAGGGGGCGAGGGAACAGTGAGAAGGCAGTGAGCCCAGTACTAGACCTGCATTCCAATCCTGCATTTATTTAACACAATTCTTCCACTCTACACAACAAAGTACAAACACAATGTCATCTAAAATGCTACAAAGTTTTAAAACTCAAACAAATTTTATAGTACTGACTGTACAATAAAAGCAAAAAAAAAAAAAAAAAAGAAAAAAAAAAAAAAAAGCAATGTACATGTTGCCAAGGTAACCTGAAGGGCAGGCACAACTGGGGCTGCATGGTGACCCAGCAAAGCTGGCTCTCAACTCACTCATCAGTTTCACAGTAGGGCGATGGGGTGGGCTGTGTGCATGAGTGCACGGACAGAGAACCATGCACAGCAACTACCGTGGGTGAGAGGCCCTCCAGGGGTGTGTGACCCTGGAAGTCAGAGAGGCCTTGAGAGGCCAGGCCTAACAGGGTTGGCAGCTGCACTAAAGTAAAGCCCAGGACAGCTCCCTTTCCAAAAGGACACTGTACAGCAACAGCAAGGGCAAGGCCTGGCCACCATCCCTGGTCACCAGGGAAGGGAAATATGTGCTCCCAGGCAGGCAGGGTCACCCCCCCCCACCCCCCCAAGAGCCTCACTCATCCCTGGTGGCTCTGTCACTGAACTGACTCTCAGAAACTGAAAACGGGTGACCTTTCTAGCCAGAAACTCGGAGGGCATCTTGGCAGGCACAACACACACCAACAGCACTTCGGCAGCCAGAGCCCAGCCGGCAGAAGAGTGCTGCCTGCTGCCTGCAATGCCTGCCCAAGTGAGGGGTTTGCTTTCCTACTGATCTTCCTTTGGCTAGAAAAGTGACAAAACTGAGCTGGGTGGGGTATAAGTTACAGGGGTGAGAGATTCAGTGGCCTGCTTAACGGGAGGAGTTGGAACTGGAGCGGCTCCTGTGGCGGCGGCGGCCTGGGGAGCGTGATCGCCGGCGCACAGGGGACCTGCGCCTTGGGGAGCGGGATCTGCAGGAAGAGGAGAAAGCACATCAGAAGAGTTCAGACTGTAGGGGCAAGGTGGCTTCTTTCCGGGCAATTCTCCATAGTTTTACTTTTTAGTACAAGAAGCTGGGACAGGTCCCAACTGATGGGCCTGCCCCTGAGCTCTTGGCAACGGGGGCTCCTGAGACCCAAGGCAGAAGCCCAGGCTTTCTTCCTCTTGCCCAAAGGCTGAAAGCATAGCTCACCACTGGCAAGAGAAGGCCAAACTGTGGCCTTTGGCAAGGGATTACCACCCCCACCTCCCACCAACTCCTCTGACACCCAACTTTCTCCTCTCCTAGCCCTTCTTGTTAGCTCGGAAAAAAGTGGGCCTTCACCTGGACTCACAGGTCTAACGGTCTACTGGGAAGGCCACGTCACGCCATGTCACTGCTCAGACTTATAAAGCTGTGTTGGTGCACGCTAGGGCCTCTCCTGCTGTTGCTCACTGCAGCCATGACCCTCCTGCTTTCCCCATGAGCTCTGACGGGCTACTACTCTCTGCCACCCCTAACCCACACAGCAGTGGAAGGCAGGCAGGGCTGAATAAAGGGTCCCAAAGTCACTGTGGTCACATGAGGTTTGTGGCCTGATCAGTTCACTGAAACTACAAATTGTTTACCTTCTCCTCATCCGTGGGGGAGACCTGCGCCACATGGGTGGTGGTGGCAGCATTCTCCTGGGAGGGCTGAATCGCCTGGGGGGTGGTCTAGGCCAGGGTGCCAGCACAGCGGTGGCAGTGATCTCCTGGCCATCAATTTGTCCTGTTGAAAAAGAGAGCAAGTCATAAAATATCTAGCAAGCATTTACCCTAGACAAAGCATGCCACAGTGAACAGACAGGCCTGGTGGGACAATGACAATGTAAGATAATCACAGAAATAACATCATGAGTAACATTTCATGAAGAAAGGAGTCATGACGTAAAAGGAGATACCGATCTCGTGTCAAGGCATCCTCCCACATCAAAAGTTACGCAAGTCAAGAGCTCAAGAATGTATTGAAGGCCAGGTGCAGTGGCTCATCCCTGTAATCCCAGCACTTTGAAAGGCCAAGGCGGGCAGATCACAAGGTCAGGAGTTCCACACCAGCCAATATGGTGAAACCCCTTCTCTACTAAAAATTCAAAAAATTAGCGAGGTGTCGTGGTGCACGCCTGTAACTGCAGCTACTTGGGAGGCTGAGAATGTCTTGAACCTGGGGTGGAGGTTGCACTGAGCTGAGATCACACCTCTGCACTCCAGCCTGGGCAACAGAGTGAGAGAGCTCATCTCAAAAAAAAAAAAAAAAAAAAAAAAAAAAGGGGCGGGGGGGGGGGGGGGAAGAAAAAGTGCTGAAATCCACTAGGTGGAACAGAAGGGATATATGTCTTGCCCTGCGCTGTGAAGGACCCACAGTGCTGTGAGAGAGGGCAGTAGCGAGAGCAAGTGACAGGCAAACAGAAGGCCCGAGGGTCAAGGTGGGGTCTCCTGGCAGGGCCATGCCGATGGTATCCGCATTTGCGCTTCCTTCTCATACAAAGGGAAGCTGGGTCTGGGGCCAAGAGAAGAGGGAGACCTGTTAGGAGGGCTCTGTGGCACTGAGGGGCATGAATCAACATCAAATGAAATGGTAGGAAAGGGAAAGGATTTAGGAGTAACTGGGAAGTAAAGTTGCCAGAGCTTGGTGGTGGACAGGATGGAGGTGGTGAGGGACAGTCAAGATGAGCTTCCATTCATGGAGAGGTGGGGCCCCAGTGGGGAGCAGCATGAAGGAAGTTTCAGGAAATACTGAGGACTCTGTGTTTGGAAACAAGCAGTCTGAGAGAGGTGGCTCGCTGCATGTGGATGGCACTGAAACACAAGCCATGTGCGTGCAATGGGGTGGTAAGAAGTGAGGAGAGGCAGTGTGGGACAGGGGCTCCCGGGAGAGAGGAAAGGAAATGGAGGTGCAAACCCAGGAACCCCAGGGGAGCATGTGCCCCAACCTCAAGAACTGTCTGGTAGCTGGGGATATCGGGTGCCCAAGCCCAGCCCCTTCTATGCCCTAAAGGGTAAAGGGCTCTTTTGTTTTCTCAACTCCTCCCTTCAAGGCACCTTCAAAGTGCATGGGGACTAACTTGGGCACATGGATATGTATTCAGAACGCACTTAAGAGGTTTAACTTCAGTAAACTCAGCCTAAGTTAGCCCAAATTAGGGATTTCACAGCACTGACTCTAGAATAATGAAGAAAAATCTGTCTCTGTCTAGCTACCAGTAAAGGCCAACCCCTTCTCATTTTCTCTTGGACACAGCGTGGACTCACTCCATTCAATGACAGTATGGGGACACACACAAAAATCCTACCAGAATCTTAATAAAAGCTGGAATATCTATAATCATGCCCACCCAGAAGGTACCCGGGTCTCCTTTGTTTTTAGCTCAGCAAGTGCTCAGACTGTCAAATAGCGAATAATCAGCAGACTCCAAAGCAAAGGAGTGACTCACAAGGCCAAAAGCTGATGTGAATACAAAGAGCCCCTAACCCATTTCAGAAGGACTTAAGTAACTTGAAAGAGAAGTTATTCAAGTATCGAGAAAACTTTCCTGATGTCTGAACTCTACCAGAGCTCAAAGGCAATTACTGAAAAAAACAGTTAAGCTATTTATAAAGTTTTTAACAGGGCCTCAGAGGATGCAAGGTTCTGGGGCACGCATACCCCGCTCTCTACCAGGCCTGGTGACCCAGATGGCAGAGTGGGCTGACTGTTTTCAGTGCCAGCCGCCTTGGTCACTCAGCAGCAGGGAGCAGAGAAGAGATGACTCCACATTCCTCAAAATGCTGACTTCATAAAGTGAAAATCTGCCACCCAAAACTATTCACAAGGGTCCACGTGCTTTTAAAACCATTCTGCCCGATATAAACAGCTAAAAGTGTTATGAGTGGTTTTAAGACATAAGTGTTTGAGAAATAAATTCAGTAAATCCAGTCACTCAGCAAAATAGTAAAAAAGCTGAAATACTGGCAAACTTCTGATTCTCAGAAATGATTAAAGGAAATATTCCCATATAAAAAGCCAAGTGTATTCTATGTAAGAAACCTGTAGTTGATCCTTAAGCTTTTAACAGATTGGAAACTCCCTAAAATGTTAATCTATGCGTATTTGCTATTTTTTTTTTTTTCTTCAAGAACAGTGTTCCTTTGAACTGGAGCTGGAAGAAAAAAAAAAAGGTGTTCCTAAAACATATTTTTGGTAATCATACAACCAAGTAAGAAATGGAATCCTGAAAGAGCTTCCGGGACTCAGAAGTGCAGCCCAGGCCGGGCACAGTGGCTCACACCTGAAATCCCAGCACTTTGGGAGGCCTGGGCAGATTACCTGAAGTCAGCAGTTCCAGACCAGCCTAGCCAACATGGTGAAACCCTGTCTCTACTAAAAGTATAAAAATTAGCTAAGCATGGTGGCACCTGCCTATAATCCCAGCTACTCAGGAGGCTGAGGCAGGAAAATGGCTTGAACCTAGAAGGCAAAGGCAGAAGTGAGCCAAGATTGCACCAATGTACTCCAGCCTGGTCAACACACACCCATACCCACACACAGAAATGTAAATGGCTTGAACCTGGGACGCAAAGGCAGAAGTGAGCCAAGATTGCACCAATGTACTCCGGCCTGGTCAAAACACACACACACACGCGAAACTGGGCTTATTTGGTACCAGTAATCATACAGGAAGCAATGCCAAATATAAAATGGGGTTTGGCTTTGTTGGGGCTATATTTGTATAAATGTTATTGGTATGCTCCAAAATCATGTAAAATTCCAAAAATTATAATGTATCTTACTGTACATTATCAGTAATGACTGTAATTGTATTAAATTATCATTGTGTCACAGAGGTAACAAATTTCCTCATCAACTGTGTCTTCAACTATGGCTACCCTAAAACTTTTTCTCAACTATAAACAATTGTCTCCTTTTAATCCTCTTTAAAAGGATTAAAAACTACAATGAGGTGGCTCATACCTGAAATTCCGGAACTTTGGGAGGCCGAGGCAAGCAGATCACGAGGTCACGAGATCGAGACCATCCTAGCCAACATGGTGAAACCCCATCTTTACTAAAAATACAAATAGCTGGGCATGGTGGTGCGTGCCTGTAGTCCCAGCTACTTGGGAGGCCAAGGCAGGAGAAATTGCTTAAACTGGGGAGGCGAAGGCTGCAGAAAGCTAAGATCCTGTCACTGTGCTGCACTCCAGTCTGGGAGACAGAGTGAGACTCCGTTTCAAAAAAAAACGCTCTAAGAGGTGGCTGAAATACTTTGGAGATTGGGACATCAGAATAAAGAAAAAACGTTCAGGACGGTTAAAGAGCTAAAATGTCTATTAATATCAAGCAGGACAGAAATTAACTGCATAAACTGAACTAATAGGAGACTGAAGTTATCTAACTTTTTGCTTAAAATGCTGCTAATCCTTTGTTTTGCTTTACAAAGTTAATAAAATTATTAACAGCTTTTAACAATTAAATAAAGTATACTCCTATGTATGAACAAAACTTGGAACATACTTGTTTCTCTCTACCTAATTTCTTCAGAATTTGGAAACGATCTGTGTGTTTTTTGAGACCGAGTCTCACTCTGTCACCCAGGCTGGAAGGCATAATCTTGGTTCACTGCAATGTCTGCCTCCTGGGTTCAAGCGATTCTCCTGCTTCATCCTCCCAAGTAGCTGGAACTATAGGAATGTGCCACTACGCCTGGCTAATTTTTGTATTTTTAGCAGAGATGGGGTTTCACCATGTTGGTCAGGCTGGTCTCAAACTCCTGACCTCAGGTGATCCACCCCGCCCGGCCTATTTGTATGTATTCTTAATTTATGGTAGTATAGTTATTTGCTTAAGTACAATATAAATTTGTTTTCTTTTGTAACAGAACAGAAATAAAAAACTGGTTATCTGCGGTGAGCAGAGATTGTGCCATTGCACTCCTGCCTGGGCAACAAGAGTGAAACTCCGTCTCCAAAAAAAAAAAAAAAAAAAAAAAAAAAACCAACAAAACACCCCAACTGGTTATTTTACCAAGGCTTTAATGGAATGGTATGCTCTCCTTTAAGGAATCCAACTTAACCAATAAAGCCTTTAAAAAACTGGCCTCATATTCTGTGTACAGTTCCTGGACAGGGTTCCTAATCTGTGTAAAAAAATGTCACTTTCTAACAGGCCCAAAACCCCATTATCTTGGAGCTTCAAGACAAGAGGAATTGCCGGGCGCGGTGGCTCACGCCTGTAATCCCAGCACTTTGGGAGGCCGAGACGGGTGGATCACGAGGTCAAGAGATTGAGACCATCCTGGTCAACATGGTGAAACCCCGTCTCTACTAAAAATACAAAATATTAGCTGGGCATGGTGGCGCATGCCTGTAATCCCAGCTACTCAGGAGGCTGAGGCAGGAGAATTGCCTGAACCCAGGAGGCGGAGGTTGTGCGGTGAGCCGAGATCGCGCCATTGCACTCCAGCCTGGGAAGAGCGAAACTCCGTCTCAAAAAAAAAAAAAAAAAAAAAAAAAGAGAGAAGAGGAATTTACCCAACTCCTAAGTATTTAATGGTACATATCCATAGCTGGGCTTGAGTTTAAAAAGGTATTACCTCAGATTCCTTCTATGGAATGAACTTCCATCAAAGTCCCTTTAAAAGGCCTACATAAAAAATTATTTTTCTTGCTGCACTATATACAAATAATTAGGCTAAGTATAATAAAGCAAACCAGTCCTACCACAATTTGTCTTTTAATAAAAATGGGAAGCTTAAAAAAAAAAAAGCTTCAAAAACAGTAGTATACCAAAATGTTTCCAATTTTTTCCTTTTTCTATTCCTTTTTCCTAATTAGAAATCACTGAAACCCAAGCTGTGCTTTCCTAAAGCCCTATAAACTGAAGACTAAACTTCTGAAGAAAACAGCAGCAACCTACTTATGTGTGTTGCTTGTTGCAGATGATTATGTTTCAGCAAGTGCTGTCTCTAAGCCCCCAAAACAGAAAAGTGCTACTGGGAACAAATCGACCTCTTCCACTCCGGCACCATCTTCAGTGCCAGATAACAACAAACCTCTCTCAGCAGGAAACAGCCAGGAAAGATGACAGTGCCCCATCTCCCTATGATTCTCATGATAAATAAATACACAAGCATGATAAAACATTACATGCAAATTGACAGTGGGGACTGTGGCAGGCCAGGTCTCCCCAACACAGGCCTCCATAACAACTGTTTTAGTACTGACTGAGTAGTTAAGTTAAATTAAAAGCCAGTGCCCTTATACAAAGGCTAGGATGTAAGAAAGTCCACCACAAGTTTTGCCTAGGCCTTTCCTGGGTCTTAAAACAATAAAATAATGAAGATATTCTTAACACGACTCGTTTAGGATTAAACAAGTTTCACTGGAGTCTAAAAAAACTCCCCAAACCTCTGTGATTTTAGCATAAGTCAAAGGAAGGGTTATTACTCCAGCACCTAAACCTATTTAAATTAAATTAAGTAAATTTACTGAGGCTCCAGAGGAAGGTCTCCAAGACTCAAACCTTAGTCATAGATTACAAGAAGTTAATCACTTACATCTTTAGATAAATGCACACTTATGCACAGACGTATAACTTAAAAAGTATATAAACTCTGAAAAACTTTGTAATTTTAAGTTGGTCTGGCAGTAATTTCCAGGCCTTCTCTATGCAACTGTTGCAGAAATAAAAACTCTCTTCCTCCTCAGTCATCTGCATCTCATTACCAGGCCATGAGAAATAGCGGCCCAATCCTCAGTTTGGCCCAGAAACAACTGCACTCCAGCCTGGGCGATAAGAATGAAACTCCGTCTCAAACAAACAAACAAAAATAAGTGCAGTCCAGTTGGAAATCAAGTCTCTAGGGGTGGTGGGTCTCTGAGTGGTCAGGGTATGTGGCAGGGTCACCCACCTCCGTCCATGTGCTTCAGCGCCTTTTCAGCTTCATCTGGATTCTCAAACTCTACGTATGCATAGCCTTTGGACAGATGGGGATGCATCCTTTCCACCGGCATGTCAATCATTTTAATTTTCCCATACGTGGAAAATATCTCCATGATGTGATCCTAGAGGGAAAGAAGGGTCACTTGAACTCCCAGCTTCCAGTTAGCCATGTCAGATGCAAAGAAAGTTCACCACATCATGACTAAAACTTTGGCAGGGTAAAACAATCCATCCAATGAGCACCAGTGTCATTCTGGTATACATCTCCTAGACACGTGTATTAATGGTCCACTAAGAGAACTAATCAGTGCTGTACGCAAAGCAGGTACCACCACCCCAGTCCTCCAAAAGATTATATTCTATTAATTACAGATTTACCTGCCGGCACAGGCCTGCCTGTCCACAACCATGGCCCACCAGAGAGATCCATGATCCTTACCTTGGTCACATTCCTGGTGAGTCTCCCAATGTGCACTTTGGTGGGCTTAGGGGATGGGCTCCGCCTCTTCCTCTCCTTTTCATCTCTTTTAGGTGGTTTGGATCTGATTCAGAAAACAGAACACCAGAAACAATTTCTGTCAAGTCAAAATGTATTAGATTCGTTTTCGGCAGGCCTTATCAGATTGTATGACACTTTTCCTAAGGAAGTTCACGTACATAATTCCTGTCTCAGAAATCCTATCAAGGCAGAAAGACTCCTTTGGGGTCACTTTTATAACCCCAATGGTAAATCTCTAGCTCCCATCTTGCAATCTTTAGCTCTCAGGCATGGGGAACTCACTTGGAGCGGGAGCGCCTTCTATTGTCGTGTCTGCGCCGAGAAGGACTTGGAGAGCCGGAGGAGCTGCTGGAGCTGGAGCTGCGGGAGGTGCTAGAGCTTCCTGAGCGGCTGGATGCTGAGGAAGAGCTGGAGCCACTGCTTGAGCCAGTGCTGGTGCTGGAGCCTGAGCTGGAGGTCGAGCTGGACCGAGACCTGAGGGCAAGATAAGGGGTCACAACTACCACACGCCAAGTCTCACAGTACAGATGCCTCCTCCAAGTCTGTTGTGCTCCCCCCAGGAGGAAACTGCTGTTCAGTTATCTCCAGGCTTCACTGCTTTCCCTAGTGTGGAAAACATCACTCCCATCCCATCCCATTGCCCAGCAAACCAGAGCCCTAGGTGTCACACTGTGCAGGGAACAGGACAGAGGTGATGGGCTGCTTTCTACCCATAGAGAAGCCTTTCCTGCTGGGAGGTAAAGGAGTCTAGCAAAAGTCAGAACTGCCAACTCAGGCTGGGAAGGGAGCTGCTGGCTGATGCTGACTCAAGCTCAGTTGTCTTTTCTTTTGAGACACGGTCTCACTGTCACCCAGGCTGCAGTACAATGGCATGATCTCCGTACGCTGCAGCTTCAACCTCATGGAATCAAGCCAGCCTTCCGACTCAGCC